TTGAAAAATTCAAAAGCAACATCAGCACGAGGAATTGAGCATGTGAAAATCCTACGTCTATCTAGCTCTTTACAAAATATTCACTGATCTTTCAAAGGGGAGTGTGGGAACATTCACTTGCAAGAAAGGACACGTTAGCGAGAGGAGCGCCCATAATTTCCAGAGTTCCCAGCTGCCGATCAAAATTCCTAGCGCGCTCGCTAAGGCGAGCATAACTCCTATATAGATGCATGGATTGCCGAAAGGAAATTGCAAAGAAATCCAAAAGACGTGAGAGGGTCTGGTTGACCTGCGATTTTGTGCACTGAGGGGATATCAAAAAGAAAGGGGGTACCAAAAAAAAAATGAAAAGAAATCCGAAGAGCAGGAACAACAAAAACTCAGGGCTTCATAAGATCGTTCGGGTACAAAAGGTAGTACGTCACACCTGTCACTGAGACGTACGCCCACGAGTTTCGAAAATTCTCAACTTTCGAACAAAATTCCTAGCGCGTTCACCAAGGCGCGCTCAATTCCTACGTAAAGTTGAAGAAAAGCAAAATGTCGAAAATCTTGAAAAAAAAACTTAACATTTGGTAGTAAGGAGAGCTCGACGGTCATTGATTCCATGCATAATCCGCCAACCAAAAAAAAGGTACCCCAAAGCTCTGTTCATGGCCGAAAAGGAAAGAAATAGCAGAAAACAGGGCTTCAGAAGTTTGTTCAAACACCGAAGATGGCACGTCATAAACAAACGTTCCGAAGACGATAACAAAAATAAAAGAACGACCGCGCGACCCGCACAACGCCCTGGCCCAAGAGTGAAAAGGGTCCTACGTGGGAGCATTACCTGTAAGCCCTTAACAATGTTCATCAGAAACTAAAGAGTATACAGATAAAGCTTCAACAATTTTCATCAGAAGCTGGTGAGGGGGTAAGACATGAGAGTCAATGGTGACTCATAAGTGGTTTCATACTATTGCCTATCACCCTTGTTCTGAGCTCAATAGGTTCATTCTCATGGCCACAAGGAGGACATTTGTGACATCCTACTCGTCATGAGTCCTCTAACCACTAAGTATGTGTCATCCTTTTCCAATTTAGGGGATCTTGTCATAAGGTACAATCATTAGTGGTTAAGGGATTCCTTATGAGTATGAGAAACCCCAACCAAACAGTCCGTTAGAGCTCCTCATTCCTTGCCCTTTGTTAATCTGATCCACTTTTCTTTTTCGATTGCTCTTCTCTTTGCCCCTTCATCTCTTCACTGTATGCACACAACCAGTGAACATCCATAAAACTACCTCTTGCTAACCCATGGGGTAGGATGGCACCACAGCCGCACAACGTGTCTGTGCAAGAGCCAAGTAGGACCAGCCCCACATCATGCTGCGGCGGGATTGTGCGGGCTTTGCCGGCGGGGGAACACTGGCACTATCAGTGTTGAGCAGTATATTGCTATTCCCCACCCCCCATCCTGCAAGGGGGAATGCTAACACTATTAGTGAAGAGCATTGTGGCCAGCTGAACTTTTTTTTTTTTTTTTTCTTTTAAAAATTACACTCTAGCCTTCTCTCAAATTGATTTTTGGCCTCGCACTACCTACCTACTACTATTCTTAAGGCTATATAGGGGACTCCTACAATCATAGCTACCTCAACCATGAAGAGGTTGCATATGTGACATACCAACTTACGTACCCGAATGATTTTCTGAAGCCCCAAGTTTTTGTTGATCCGACTCTTCGGATTTGTTTTGGGTTCTTTTTGGGTACCCTTTTTTTTTTGCTATCTTCTCAGTGCGTGAAATCGCGGGCCAACCACTGGCAACCAGACCCTCTCATGACTAAGACGACGTTTTGAATTTCCTTGGAACTTTTTTTTGGCAATTGATGCATCTACGTAGGGATTACGTGCGATTTAGCGAGCGACCTATAAGTTTGTTCGGCGGTTGGAAATTTTGGAATTTAGGGGCGCTCTTTCTGCCGACGCGTCCTTTCTTGCAAAAGGATGCTCCCGCACTCGCCACTGAAAGATCTGTGAATTTTCTGGAGGAAGCTGGATAAACGTAGGATTTTATCACACTCGATTCCGCGCGCTGATATTGCATTTAATTTTTTTTCAATCTTGAAGTAGAATGGATGGAACGTAACTGTTCCGGTGCCTTTTTCTTTTCTGCACTGGGGCCATGCATGCAAGCTTTCCCCACTTCCCGCTAGGACCCATGCCATCTTCACCCTCCTCCCCGTCGCACCTTCTTTCGTTCATCCGTAAATGTTTTCAATCCCCTCTCTTTTTGCGCTTCACCATTAAGTTACTCCTTCTCGTCTGAATCTTGGTCTTGTCCACGATTATCTTTCGTGCTCTCCTCTTTCCCGCTTTCATCCTCATACCGAAACTCTCCACCGACCCTCCTCAAAGTATTCGAAGCCGACATGCGACGACGTGTAAGGAGGATACTCTCCATACACCTGTGTGTCCATTCAACTATCAACGGGATTTTTTCAACTCCATTGTACCCGTTGAACGGGCACAAGAACCGAGTTGAATCCCCGTTGAATGATACAACGGGCGGTTTCCGTTGAACTCGGTTCAACGGACCGCGCATAACGGCCGCTGGGCACGCAGCGCCAGCGACGTGAACTAAAAAACAGGGGTTTGTCTCCGACCCCGTCCGTTGTATCCCCGTTCAACCCGTTGAACGGGAGTTGAATCCCCGTTGAATGGATTCAACTCCGTTGAATCCTCGTCGAACCGCTTCATCGTTTGACGGGTAAGCGAACGACGGGGGCTGCGCCCGCGGCTGCGGCCGCAATCGCCGTGCTCTGAAGGTCCCCCTTGCTGTGATTTCCATGTCTGTGTGTGTGTGTGCGTGCCTGCTGCTTTGCATGGCTGTCTGTGTGCTTGTCGGTTGAGTGTGTGTGACCCGCAAGGGTACTTGTTGTTTGCAAGGCCCCGCAGGGCCAGTACTTACCTGTGGCCGTGACTGTCAAAGTTGAAGGGGGGGTAGACAGTCAAGTAGCGGGGGTAGGCCCGCGACACTTACAGCAGGGGGGAAACACTGGAGTAGCAGGTAGGACGGTACCACTCGAGTAGTGGTATGAGTGTCGTGCTGAAGGCCGAGCAGAAGAAGACAAAAAGTTGGCATTTTTAGAGGCCCAGTAGCGTTAGGCTGTAGGTTAGAGGTAGGCCAGTACCAGTCAAAGTAGCCTGGGTCTAGGGCCTGTCCGGAGGATAGCAGAGCCTGCAATGATGTTTCCCTCTGAAAGGGAGGAGGTACCGGTTGTTGGGAGGCCGCTCGGGCTAGGAAGTCACCGCCCAGGAGGCCAGTAGGCCGCTATATCTCCAGGAAGAGCAAAGAGCTCTTCCTCATTTGCGGTGTGCAAGGATTGGCGACATGCTGCTGGAGCACAGCGCTGGAGGTACAACGCTGCTTGGAGGGAGAAGGGACCGCTGGAGCTCAGCCTGGCTATGGCGAGCAGTCCAGCTTGAGGAGGAGGAAGAAGGGGCATGGTAGGAGAGTGTTGAGGCACTTACCTGGCTATGGTGGACACCGTCTTCATCACCTTGTTGGGCGCTGCATCCGGAAGGCCCCAGTTGGGGTAGCGCTGCAGCAAGGAAGCTCAAGGCAGAGTCAGGCATGGCGGACCAGTCAGCAGCGGCATAGCTTCTCTTGGGTTGTCCTTTGGACATCGGCAGCACCATAGCTGCTTTGGGTTGTGTTTTGTACAGGAGGGCAGGACCCTAATCAGTCCGCCATAGCCTGTGCATGAGAGGGAAGGCTGAAATAGGGAAGCCATAGCTATGGTGGGCTTGTTGTTGTTGTTGTTGTTGTTGTTGTTGTTGTGGAGTTGAGTCAGCAGTACGAGGGAACTTCGGATATTGATTCTGGACCTTTCTGGTTCATCCATTCATTGTTATTATTATTATTGAGCGAAGAATAAGATTGGTGAAGTGAAGGAGGAGGAGGAGGTTGGAGAGAGAAGGGGGGAATTGTCATTGGTCTTGCTGGTGTACTTCTTCTTCTTCTTCTTCTTCTTCTTCTTCCCCTCTCTTCTCTGGTCTTTATCTCTTTACAAGTGCTTTCATTTCTTTCGCAATTGGGTGGCATTGTCTTTCATTGTGAATTGCACTTGGGAAACGACCAGGATCGTAAGAATTGAATGATTGTTGGGGGAGGGCTGCCCAGACACACAAACACAAACTCCCCCCCACACACACGCACGCACGCACGCACGCACGCACGCACGCACGCACACACACA